TAACTTATTCACCACTTCTATAGCATTTCACATCATTATTGCTCTATGATCTGGTCTTCCTAGTACCAGCTAATTCTCTATGACAGTGGGACTCTTCATAGATTAATACAGATATATAGGTGCGTATTCAAAGGTCTACTTGAATTAAGATTTTGAATCCTGTCTCCACTTACATTTAAATATCTTAATTAAATCAGCATCAGAATTTATTTGTTTTAAGTTTATGCATTTTTTTTCACAGCATGGATTACAAAAGCTTTAAAACTACAAAGTCTACATTTCTATTTTTTCTGGTAGCCAGTGGTTCCTCTTTATGTTTGCATGCTATGAAACTCAGCTTGTGCATCTTGAAGTGACTGTAATCAGTATTTTACCATTTAATATGACAATGTGAAACCAGTGTGGCTGTGTGAAAAGTGTCGCTTCTAGTAATGACCCTACAGAGATTTATCGCCTGAATCTGCAGCTCCTCTTGTTTTTTTACGGAGCAAGTTTCAGCATCTTCACTGTTTCGGTTCACTCTCACAGGTAGATTGGCTGAAGAGATAGTGGCTGTTTGGACAGTCAGAGAGACAGGAAGAGAATAAGACCGACCAGAGAGAGGAGAGCTGAAAGCTTTTTATTAGATTGACAGCTAAAAGTATCTCTTAAGCGCATGTCCATAGCTCTTATATAGAGAGACATTCAGTCAGTGAGACAGGCAACCACAGAGATATAGTCAGGAGAGCTAAAAGCTGTTATTAGGTTGATGGAGAAGATGAATCAACCAAATGTATCTTGTATGAGGCCTGAGTACATTGCTGTTGCGATGGATACTGTATGAAGTTAGACGGCTAGTGAGACATAAGAGACAGACAGGAGAGCTGAAAGCTGTTATCAGAGCGATGACTAAACACAAATAACCAATCACATCACTTATGAACCTTCAGTCCAGACCTATTTAAGCTGTCAGACAGGCAGTCAGTTAAAGCAGTGAGACAGCCAGTGCGACAGGCAAGCTGAAAGCTGTTTTTAGGACCCATCTGTACTAGTGGCTGGAGGCTGCGATGATGAGCCACCAGTCCACAGCTTATTATTACCTGACTAATTACACTGGCTACCTCAGGCTGGCATCACTGTGCCTGTATTTATAATCAGAGTGAAATTAAACTATTAACTGAATTAATGGCGCTGTGGTGTATGTTGTGTCAGCTCACAAGAGAGAGCATGACGTGTGTGCCTTTATTTGTGCCTCTGTGCACATTTCATACGATGAGGGGAGATTTATGAGCAAGACACTTAACTCAAAAGCCAGAGGGACAATGCAGAGAGCGAGAGAGGGAGATAAACAGAGAAGTGAACTGAGCATAAAGTAAACATCACAAGTGATGTATGGTACATGTGAGGAAATAGTACATGAGCTCACCAAACCATATTTTTGAAAATGTATTATCCATAAATACCACCAGTACCACTGCTGGTACTGTATGTATTTTAACAATTTGAATCTTCCACTATTCCCATATCTTTCATTGTGTTTTGTCCCTCTCTATGACAACCAGCTTTTCAGTCTTTCAGTGTAGACACTTTTTTTCCCTGTATCATATGAAGTAGTTCTTTTGAAGCATATCCCTTCCTTACAGCTTAGGTTGGTGACACTGGAAAAACTAGCAACTTCAGGCCTCCCTCTAGAGTCACTCCCTCAAAGTTGGGGAATTTAAAAAAAATATATAACAAAAATGCTTCTGAAATAAATTACCTACCCTCATTTTAAATCTTACTACTATTTGATTCTGCAACAGCCAATTTGGCCTATGAATCTTGTCTAATACAATTTAACACATATCTAGACCAATGAACAAATGTCCCAAAATAGATAGTTTTATAGGATATTTCTGTCTGTAGACTTGAGTTATATTGCTGTGATGCATAGGCTAGCTGATGTAAAAATATGTGGTGTGGAAATGCTATTGGGCACTTTCATATTGTACTGTTTAATCAGTGCGCTTATGCATAATTATTGTGTGTAAATGTGGCTTTGGATGGTGTTGAGGCTTATCTGAGGTGGACCGATCTCTAATCATTGTGTGGCTGCTGTAAATTGGCCACAGGAAGATCTGTTGGCAGTCAGTCAGTAAGAGTGTGTGTATGTAGGGCAGCTGGAGTCTGCAACTGGCATGAAAAAGTGGCAGTACCATATTGTCATGTATCAGCAGTAAGTGTCAATTTCAATGCAAATAGCAAGAGAAACCAAACACATAGGCTAGTAACACACACACACACACAAACGCACACTTCCCGGAGTGTAGGATTCCAACACCGATTGGATTTCTAACATCAAACAATGTTAAAGATGATGTATGCATCACCAAATGGATATCTAAGAAATTATTACCATTCTGCAGTGCAAAAACCTTTTTCGGGATCCAGCACAACCAACATCAAACTAATATTAAAATGAGAAAAACATCAAACATAATGCAAACTCCACTAAAGATAAGAGCTTTAAAGGAGGAGTTTCATGGAGAGAAATTAACCTTTAATGTCACAAACTAGCTGAATAGGTTCTACATAACATGTATGGAGGGACAAATTAATATAATGTGGTCAGTTTTATCAATGTCTTACAAATTTTGTTTGTGTAGCATTTATAGCAAAATGAACACATGGGAGTCTTTTTTTATTGTGATGAATGTGTATGTTTCTCAAACTACACAAAGTGCATTAATTTTTTATCAATAAATGTATTTAATTATATATTTAATATATGAAGCTAGTGTCTATGGCCCATTCTCCTGAACTATAAATAGCACCCAGCATAGTTGGGCATTGATTGAGGCAGAGTATGCATCATGAAAGCTCTCCACATCTCTACGTTTTCCATAATCATAGCAAACACTACAAATTACAGCACACTTGACAATTTACCAAAAACATTACCAACAGAATGTGCAATGTCTGAATGGATTTCATCAGGGTAACAAGCGCAGGAACCACCCAACGGTTTTGTGTGATGACGTATATTCTGAATAGAGTACATTGGTAACCAAGGTGATAAGAACCTTTTCATTTTGCACTTGATAGTGTGAACTACTACTACTGTTGATATAACCTCTTGGTAGACAATCTTTTCATCAAGAAGGACTAGCCATTATTGTTTCCTGCTGGTATACATCTCACATACACAGCACCAATCAGATTGTTTGGCTTCAATCAGCTGTTGTGTAAATAGACATTAGCAGCTGTTTACTATGCAGCAATTATTTGAAATACAGCCCATATTTCCATGCATTTGCATATGAGTGCTTAATCAAGTAAGAATCTTCATCTATGGTTGCACTTCTAAATGATAGAGTCCTGCACTAAGTGAATGGGATCAGGCCTGTTCATGCACACTGCCCATTGAGCTGGAATGATTCAAAGCACATTACATCTGTCATGCTTTACAAAGCGCCCATCGCTTTAAACAGAGTGGAAAGATAATATAGTGAAGCTTATCACACGCCCCGTTGAAAATAATTAATTCAGCACACATGCATTAGGAAACAGAGGAAAGTGTCAATGCACAATAAACCGTGTGGAGGACTCATTTGTAGTTTGGCAAATTTGTTACCTGACTCTGTATGAGTGGGTGGTGTGTGTGTCTGTGTGTATGTGCACAAAGGCGGAGGGGTGTAACTTACACCTGAGCACTCATTTGGATGTTAGTGTGTGAGTGTATGTGTGATTACATCCAGAATACGTGTATGTGTGTAGGTATGTACATCCACACACAAGTTATGTGTGTGCTGCTTGTGTTTTGTTTGTGTATGCTTTTTGTGTGTGTGTGTGTGTTTTGCACACATGCATCTCTAACTTTGTCTTTGTCCCTCACGCTTGTGCGGTGGTTCGTGTTTGAGTTTGTGATCAGCCCCGTCCTAGAAGTCTCTGGACGCTCCGAAATAAAACACAGACAGGTGTGACATATTATAAATTTGGTCTCAACTCGGGTAACAGAGCAAAAAACAATGAATATCCATCCATAACAAATAGCAACAGAGAGAGAGAGAGGGGTGAGAGAGGGAGAATAAGAGTAAAGAGGAAGGGGGGGGGGGATTTTTCCATTTCAACGGATCAACGACTTTCCAATTTTAACACAATTCTCATTTGGAATTCAGACCGGAATGCAGCAAGATATTAATTTGGGGAAATCAACAGAGAAATTGGGTCACCTGTGAGCTGTTCATTTCACGCCGCCAAAACAAATAAGCAATTTAAAAGAGAAACGGAGAGAAGTGAAGGGAAAGAGAATAAAAAGAAAATTATGTAAGTTCAGAGATATAATGAAAGAGGGAAGGAGAACGGAAGGAAAAGTTGGTTAAGAATGTGAGTAGGGTGATTTTGCAGACCGGGGTACACAGTGGAAAGAGAGAGAGAGAAACACAAAAGAGGAAGGAAGGAAGAGAGTTAGACAGTGAGATGTTAGATTGAGTTTGGAACTTAATGAAAATGGCAGACAGAGTTTGCATTCATTGCAACACACATCCACCGAATGTAAACTAATGTGGGCAGCGTGTGGCTCAATCAGACTCTAAAGAGGAGAGCAGAGGTCAGGGTCACAGTTGCATTTAGCTCATTTAGGGCGAGAATAATTGCCTTTTTGCAGACATTGATACACACACACACACAGACACAGTGTTGGACACAAGCAAACACACTCACAGACAGGATGCTGTTTTGAATAGATTATGCAAATTAAATGCAGAGTGTGTCAGACTGGCAGAAGAGAGGGAGTCAAGTGTAAACTGTGAAGGTTGATACGGGCTAAGGCAGTATTGGTTATGCAGGTTAATGCAGTATTGACTGGTGCCCACAGGGGTGAGGGTAATAGCTACAGGGGAAAAAAGAAAACAGAGAGCTTGTGTATGAGTATAAAAACTTAAGGTATATCTGTATACATGAATTTGCTGGTGAGAGTGCGAGAAATATTATAAAATTATCTGTTGTTTTAATCAATCCTCCCCCTGTCCCTCTCATTTTAGGACAGTCCATTGATCCTCCAGTCCGACAGAAATGTCACTGTCAATGCTAGGAATGATCAGGGACAACTGACTGGTCAGCTAACCGTGGGTAAGACACACATACACACACCATACAAAGACATGTCTACACATACTACATTGGCAGTAAACATTTTCTTTCGAAAACAACCTCCAAATCAGATCATTTCTCCAAGACAGTCAGTTATATTGCTTTGTTTGTGCTTGAATTCCTAAATGTATTTTACCTCCTTTTGTTTACTAAACTAAATGCTATCTGTTTCCATTAGTGTATCTCACTGAGGCTGACAGCCGTGCTGTTTGCTCAACTAAATCATTTTTCCAAGTTCTTATTGGATTAGCGAGGGCCCAGTGTCCTACGAAAGATGTCACTCAGAGGACATATGACATATATTTTATGACATATTCTTGTGGGACTCAGTAACTTAAAAAAAGTCTAAGAACATGAATTAAAATATATCCATGGTTGACCAGTGGATAAAGATCAAGAGTGTGAATCTCTTGGTTCTGCTTATAATCATAGCAGCAGTGTTCTCAAGTGTTCTCATTTTGGTGAATGAGTGAGGAAGAAAAGGGAAATTACAATAACCAAATCTGGAGGGAAATAATTTTGCAGTGGAGTGTCAGAATTTCAGTTGATTATGAGACTTTTTTTAACATTTATTTATTCATTTATTAGCACACTAAAACAAAACAGCCAGAACACCACAACAAAAGAAAAAAGGCAAATTGTACAGGTGAGATTTGAAGCTTCTAGAAGGAATCTCACATAAATAAGCATCATAAGCAGATACAAAAGTCATGAGAGTCTCAAAAGCAAACAAACAAGCAAATATAGGATCAAAAACACACACATGCAGACACACATAAATAAATAATATAATGTAGTCAGTTTGGGTTACATTAGGGCTGCCCCTGACTAAAGATTTTCCTCGTCCAATAGTTGACTAGTCGTTGCATGTTGATATGATATTGATTTGATTATTTAAATACATACTTTAACAGCTAAATGATTACCAAAAGCCGTAATTAATTGAATTTCTCCTACGGGGGATCAATAAAGGACCATATTATCTCTTATATCTTAATGATTCTAAATGTGTCAGAACAACCAGCAAGAAGACTGAACATTTAGTT